TTTTTGTACACCTGAGGGCAACTTTTTATACAGAGAGTCGTTCATGTGTGGAATGAACATCCAGAGAAGTGGTGGATGCAGGTACAGTTACAACATTTAAAAGACATTTGAATAAGTTTATGATTAGGAAAGTTTGGAGGGATGTGTGCCAAGCACAGGCAGGTGGAACTAGTTTAGTTGGGAACATGGTTGACATTGACTGGTGGGACGCTGTATGACTCTATGACTCAGGTGATAAACTTGGTATGTAGGAGTTTCAGGTAGAGAAAGGGGTAGATGGGATTTTCAGATGGTAAAGGGATTAGATGGCCAGTGCAGGTCCTCACCAAGTGGGCAGGGAAGGCCAGCAATGGTGGCTCAGTGGATGTTGTGGGTAAAGTTAACATCTGAAGTCTACCAGCCAGACAGTGAATTGTGCTGCTGAAGTCAGACAGCAGGACAATGTCTACAAGCCTCCCAGTCTCCAGCACAAGAAACGCAGAGCTAAACACTTGGCTGAAAAAGTTACTACTAAGTTACTGAACATGAACAAATCTCTCTCAGACTGACCTGACTGTAAGGGATGGGTAGTCCTTACTCCACATGGGCCTTCAGGGTTCTCAGTCACGTTGGTGCCGCTGATGATTAACCACAAGACAGCTAGGCCACAGAGAAACCCAAAGCAATAGGATGAAGACATGGCAGCCATCACTGTTCCCTACTCAGGATGTGGCAGGAAATCTGCTGGAAATCTGCCTTGCCCTCACTGCAATGTGCTACACCCATAATGAAGAAGGCTTGCTTTAACTTAAATACCATTGTCAATTCTTTCAGTTACTGTACCTTGGTTCCAGACTCACCACCTTGGTTTGTCTAATGTCTGACTGCAAGGTGCAGGAAGTGTTTCAATGGAAGTTAAGGTGCAGTTGCATGCCCCCCTTTGCTATATTGGATGAGAGTTTAGGGACATTCTACATATCATTTTGTGTTGACTGTATCCTTTACTGAACTGCCGTTACAGTCTTGCCCTGAGTTGTTTTTGTTCAGCAGCAGCAGATGACTGTAACCAACTTTTCTTGAAGCATATTTCATCCCTTGAATGACATGTGAACATTCCCTGTTTGGTATAGGTCACACTGCCGTAGAAGAGTGTAGGATGTCATGTTAGATGCACACTTGCTCTTTGGCGATGGAGGAAGGTGTCAAGGAAGGTGTCACTGGCAGTGAAAATTCAATGGACCTGTAACAATGTTCTTTCAGCACAGTGACAGTACTCTCAGCTGTCCCTTTTGACCAGAGCCAACCCTTCACTGACAACGCTGACACTGGGGCTCACAGTTCCACTTAGCAGCAGCAGAGGAAGAGGACTGCACTGGCTCCCCTCTGTTCTATGTTTGCAGTTGATCGCAACTGGGTAAACGTCTCTAAATTAAAATGTCAGGAACTATCTTTCTTGAGCAATAAGAAGTCAATTAACAATTCTTGTGTCAAAGTTTAAAGGCCGTACCTTTTAATATTTCTGAAATTTTGATTGGAGACTGAAATGAGAAAAGTAGTTTTTAAAACCAAGGATTACTGGACGAATGCTGCATGTTTTGAAAGCAAGTAGCCTGGCATTCATTGTAAGCATTGTTTACACAGCTGCCTGTTCAAGCAGGAACTTGAAGTACAGTTTGCAGATAAGCTGGAGCTGAGTGGTTGTGTACAAATGGGGCTTTAGATGGCAACTAGAAACTGTATGGACAAGTGACCAGTTATCAATAACATAGGCCTTCCACCTGCTAAAACCTTTCTGATTGATTCTCATGTAAATGAACAGCTTGGGGCTGTGAACAAGAAACTGAGAAACTTTCAGATCTCCATCACCTCTCCATCAGGAGCTCTCTCTGTCTTCTGCAATAAAAGCCAATCTAATCCTGAAATAAACCAGTTTATCTTTAGATCAGCTTACAATAAGCTGTGACTTTTAACTGATAAATCAGAGATCTTTTTACAAGTGAACCAGCCACCCTGTGCCTCTTGGAAACCAGTAGATACACCCAGAGAAGGAAGATGGATTAGCAATGTTCTGATCAGCACAAGAATCTTAGCAACTCCATAAATAGGAACGACTGAATTGCGTTCCCAGTCTCTCCCTCTCTGTCCATAACACCCATGTTTTTCTCTCTGTCTGTCTCTATCTGTTAGTGTCTGCTTAAGGGTGAGTTTATCAGGATATGAGAAATTTAGTTAGTAGAGTTATACAACTGTTTACCTGTAGCTAAAGTCTAATTACTTGTAAAAAAATAGATATTCTTGGTCAGTGCAGAAATGTGCTCCATGCTTTCTGTCAACCTGGGTTTGACAATCAGATAAATTGAGAAATTTTGCATGCTTTTTAAAATGTTTAACATACCCACGCACAATCATACAATCCCTATAGTGTGGAAGTAGGCCTTTGGCCCATTCAGTCCACACCGATCCTCCGAAGAGCATCCCACCAAGACCCACCCAGACCAACCCCGTACCCTACTCCTGTAATCTTGCATTCCCCATGGCTAATCCAGCTATCCTGCACATCCCTGGACATTATGGGGCAATTTAGCACAGCCAATCCACCTAACCTGAGCACCCGGAGGAAACCCATACAGACGCAGGGAGAATGTGCAAACTCCACACAGTCACCCAAGGCTGGAATCAAACCTGGGTCCCTGGCGCTGTGAGACAGCACTGCTAACCACTGAACCACCGTGCCACCCCACAAATACAGAGACACACAGAGGAGGGCAGAAGGGTGAGGAGCATGTAGAAGGAGGATGAGGGGGATTGCGGGAAGGAGAGGATAGGGGCATGCAGGAGGGAAAGGGTCACAAAAATAGGTGGAAAAGCAGGTTGCAAGACGATACAGTTTGCAAAGAGATATTGATAGGTTAAGTAAGCACGCAAAAAATTGGCAAATGGAGTATAATGTGGGAAATGCGAAATTGTTCATTTTGGAAGGTAGAACAAAAGAACACAGTATTACTTAAATGGGAGAAAACTACAGAAAGCTGTGATACAAAGGGACTGGGAGGTACTTGTGCACAAAACACAAAGCTAGCACATAGGTGTAGCAGATAATCAGGAAGGCTAATAGAATGTTGGCCTTTCCTTCAAGGGGGTTGGAATATGAAAGTAGGGAAGTCTTTCTGCAACTGTACAAGATGCTGGTGAGATCACATCTACAGTATTGAGAGCAGTTTTAATCCCCTTATTGAAGAAAATGCATTATTTAATTGAAGGAGTTCAGAGAAGGTACATTGGGATGTATGGAGAGATTGTCTTATGATTGGGACTCTGCTCCCTGGACTTTAGGAAAATGAGAGGTGATCTCCTTGAAACATCTCGGATTCTTAAGGAGCTGGACAGGATAAATGCTGACAGGATGTTTCTCCTCGTCAGAGAGTCTAGTACCAGAAGGGCATTGTCTCAGAAGAAAGGAATACCAACTTCAGACTGAGATGAGGAGGAATTTCTTTTCTCAGAGGGTTGAGAGTCTTTAGAACATCTTACCACAGACAGCTGTGGGGACAGAATCCTTATGGATATTTAAGGCTGAGATAGGTTCTTGATCAGTCAGGGAATTGAGGGTTATGGGGAGAGGGCAGGAAAGTGGATGTGAGGAATGTCGGATCAGCCATGATCCATGAATGGTGCAGCAGGCTTGAGGGGCTGAATGGCCTACTCCTGTTCCTATTTCTAATGGTCTAATGGACCTGCAGGTGGCAGTAAGGAGGATGCATGTCCTACAGGAGGAGGGCAGGCTGAGGGCAACCAGTAAGGAGTTGGTGGGGAAGGAGAAACCTGTGACTGAAGGATGTGTGGAATAGAAAAGGTCATTGGGTAGGTGATGCTAACAGTGTTTCCTACAAAAGGTACACCCACTCCAAGCTCCACATGGCAGACCTCAGGACCTGCAGTTACAGAGTGTGGCCACATAGGGTCACAACTTCCACTTTGGGAAGCCCCAATCCACAAGCTCAAGATGATTCACAAAAACAGTCAGAAACCCTTCCATCACTTTTAGATCCCGTAGACTGATAATTGGCCAGGTTGCATTTGTCCTGCTTTGTGTGCAGGATGTACATCGTCAATTTTTCACATTGTTGAATAGATGGCAAATGTTATATTGTACAGGAGTAACTTGGCTAGAGAAGCAACAAGTTCTGGAGCACAAATCTTCAATACTATTGCCGGAATATTATCAGGGCTCATAACCTTTGTAGTATCCAGTGTCTCCAGCCATTTTTTGATATCATGTGGAGTGAAATGAATTGGCTGGAAACTGGTATCTGTAATGCTGGGGACCATTGGAGCAGGTCGAGATGGATTATCCACTCAGCACTCTGGCTGGAGATTGCTGCAAATGCTTCAGCCTTATCTTTTGCAGTGATGTGCTTCAATCACTGAGGATGGGGATATTTGTGAAGCTTCCTGCTCCAATGAGTTGTTTAATTGTCCACCACCATTCATGACTGGAAATGCAGGACTGCAGAGCTTAGATCTGATCCGTTGGTTGTGGGATCGCTTTGCTGCCTGTCCTTAACAGTGACTTTCTAGGCCATCTGCTAGGGTAGAAGACAGGTAATCTGGAGCCACACATAGGTCAGACTAGGTAAGGATAGCAGATTTCCTTCCCATACAGTGAATCAGATGCATTTTAACAACAATCAGTAGGAGTTCATGGCAATGTTACTCAGACATACATTATATGGGGCACAATATCCAACGTATGAACATTTGTGCTTTTGAACGTGATCACATGCAGGGGTGAAATTTTAAAGATCTGACAAATGAACGTCTCCTGTACTTACAGGTGGCTACTTTACATTGTCCTGCATTGTGTTCCAACTTGTGTACAAATCGATTCGCAAACGGACTCAGGGACGGAACCTGTTTGCAACACAGGGATTGCCTGTATTCCAGATTTAACCTTGCATTTCAATTCCACCAGCGTTTGTGGTGGGATCTTACTGTAAACGTCCCTTCTCCCTATGCCTTACCAGAGTGTCAGCGTGATGTCGATGGATGTCAGCAAAGCACAGCAGACAGAGGGCCTGCAGAGGTCGATCCCGGTGCTGTATGGCAATCTTCATTGATTCCTGAAAGAAACGCGCACACACACACATACGCACATGCACATGCACACACAAACACACAGAGATGCACGCACAGACACACACACACACAGATATATCAATATAATCACTTGGCTAGTGTCAACGTTCCTGTATGTCTGCTGCCCTTTCTATACAGTAAATGGAAAAGCTCTGGGGAAAATTGATGCACAGAGAGATCTGGGTGTTCAGGTCCATTGTACCCTGAAGGTGGCCACGCAGGTCGACAGAGTGGTCAAAAAGGCATACGGCATGCTTTCATTCATCAGACGGGGCATTGAGTACAAGAGTTGGCAGGTCATATTGCAGTTGTATAGGACTTTGGTTCGACCACATTTGGACTACTGCGTACAGTTCTGGTCACCACATTAACAAAAGGATGTGGATGCTTTGGAGAGGGTGCAGAGGAGGTTCACCAGGATGTTGCCTGGTATGGAGGGCGCTAGCTATGAAGAGAGGTTGAGTAGATTAGGATTATTTACATTAGAAAGACGGATGTTGAGGGGGACCTGATTGAGGTCTTCAAAATCATGAGAGGTATAGACAGGGTGGATAGCAAGAAGCTTTTTCCCCAGAGTGGGGGACTCAATTACTAGGGGTCACGATTTCAAGGTGAGAGGGGAAAAGTTTAAGAGAGATATGTGTGGAAAGTTCTTTACGCAGAGGGTGGTGGGTGCCTGGAACGCGTTGCCAGCGGAGGTGGTAGAGGCGGGCACGACAGCGTCATTTAAGATGTATCTAGACAGATACATGAATGGGCAGGGAGCATAGGGATACAGATTCTTGGAAAATAGGCAACAGGTTTAGACAGAGGATCTGGATCGGCGCAGGCTTGGAGGGCCGAAGGCCCTGTTCCTGTGCTGTAATTTTCTTTGTTCTTTGTCCCTCTCAATGATAGTGATAGTGGGTTTGGAAGGTGCTGCCTAAAGATCTGTGGTGAATTTCTGCAGCGTATCTTGTAGACAGTACACACTGCTGCGACTGAGCATCGATGGTGGAGGGAGTGGATGCTCGTGGATGTAGTGCCAATCAAGCAGCTTTTTTGTCCTGGATGGTGTCAAGCTTCTTGAGTGTCATTAGGGCTGCACCCATCTTTGGCAAGTAGGGAGTATTCCATCACGCTCCTGACTTTCAGATGTAAGGACAGGTTTTGGGGAGTCAATTTAGATCTAATTTATTCAGTAAAACAGCAAGTAAAACAATTTTCTTTGACACTGAGTCAGAGTGGTTACATCATACAGGCCCTTCAGCCCATCGTGTTTGTGCTGTCCTCAAACATCTACCTGTTCTAATCCCATTTTCCAGCATTTGGCCCACAGCCTTGCATGCAATGATGCTTCGAGCATTTATCTAAATAGTTCTTGAGTATTATGGGGGTTCCTGTCCTGACCACCCTTTCAAGCAGTGAGTTCCAGATCACCACCACCCTCTGGGTGAAAAGATTTTCTTTAATTCCTCTCTAAGTCTCCTGCCCTTTACCTTAAAACTGTGTGCATTGGCTATTGACATCTCTACCGAGGGGACAAGTTTCTCTTACATCTACACTATGTCCCTCAGAAGTTTGTGCACCTCAATCAGGCAACCCCCTCAGCAGCTTTCTGCTCTGAGTAGAACTATGCCAGCAACTCCAGTCTCTCTTCATGGCTGAATTGCCATCCCAGACAAGAATCTGATGGACCTCCCCTGCACCCACTCCAGTGCACTCACATCCTTCCTGCAGTATAGCGACCAGGACTGCACACAGTAATCCAAGCTGTGGGCTAACTAACGTTATTTACAGCTCCAAGATAACTTGCCTGCTCTTACAGTCAATGTCTCGACAAGTATCCCACAACCCTTCTTAAGCACCTTATTGACCTGTCCTGCTACCTTCAATGATCAATGGACATGAACACGAAACTCCCTCTATTCCTCTGCACTTCCTAGGGTCAGACCATTCAACACTTACTCTCTTGTGTGGTGCTTCTGCTCAAAGTACATCACCACTCACTTCTCAGGATTCAACTTATTTCCATTGAACAGCCCATTTGACCAGCCAGTTCATATTCTCCGATAGTTTAACTCCACCCTCCCTCTCTATTTACTACCCCTGACCTGAAAGGACTGGGAAATTTAAACACAACTTCGAAGAAAACTGCCTCCTGGGCCATGACACATGAACACAGAGTCTATTGGCAACCATCAGCTCCATAGGGCTGTGCCACGAGAGTGTACACCCAGGTGCTATACCAGAGTGAGTGTATCGGGTGGTGTGTCAGAATGTGCATATCCGGGTGGTGTGTCAGAGTGAGCGTAACGGGCAGTGTATCAGAGTGAGTGTAACGGGTGGTGTGTCAAAGTGTGCATACCCGGCTGATGTGTCAGAGTGAGTGTAATGGGTGGTGTGTCAGAGTGTGCGTAACTGGTGGTGTGTCAGAGTGAGGTCTCACTCTATCATTTCTCAGACTGTTAATTTCTTTGTAATTGGTGTGTTACATTACTGAACTTACACAAGGAACAAACAGATCACACTTGGATGGTAGACCTTTGAAATGCTGACTTCCTTTCGGTAGAAATTGTGTCAATAAAAAACCCAAACTCTTTCCAAAACTAATTGTCTTACACAGGCACATGAACCCTGGATCGATATGGCAGTAATAGGCCCTCTGTCACTGATTGGATCATGGTGCCATTGGAGATACCCTCAATGACGATCTCTAAGTTCCAGAAAAGAATATCAACCTCACTGTGTTATTATGGGGAGGGTCCCTGCATCCTCTTTGATATCCAGCCTTGATAACGCTCAATAAAAACTGAAAGAACTGTGGACGCTGTAAATCAGGAACAAAAACAAAGTTGCTGGAAAAGCTCAGCGGGT